GTTTTTGTGGTCGTTTTGTGTGTTTTTGTGGTTGTTTTGTGTGTTTTTGTGGTCCTTTTGTGTTTTTGTAATTCTTTTGTGTGTTTTTGTGGTCGCTTTGTGTCCCACTGAAGCGGTTTTGTGGAGACACTCTCCTGACCTTGTGCTGTTTGTCTCCTCCAGCTGTGAGACGAAGCATCAAGAACCTGACGACCGAAGCATCAGCTGCACTGCAGTAACCGAACGGTGAGCAGAAACACCTGAAGCCTTCATCACAAGCTCACCTGTGACTTCACGTTCCTCCTCAATGTCACCGATATCTCTGACTTTATAGCTCACAGTTCATCCAGACGGAGCCCAGAATTTGTTGTGTTTTTACAGAATGTAGTTTCTGCAAACACTCATTTTTATCATTTTGTTCTGGAATAAAGTGATTTTAATTCAAATGATGCAACTTTAAGCTTGGCTTTGCCGCGTCACAGTTAAATAGTTTAATAATCGTTGAAATCAGACGATTATTTCTGTTTTTCTGGCTCACATTTGGTCTCATTTTGGCAGATTTTTAAAACACAACATATTTCTGAAACCCACAAGCAGGTCTGGAGGTCCAGAGGATTGACCTCCGTCTCTTCATGTTGTCTTCTGGACAGTGTTCTTCTGTTTGTGGATCTGACTCTCTTCTTGTAGTTGGTAGCTCAGGCGTTGGTTCTGTGCATTTCTGGTTCTGGTGAACCTTCTGGAGTGTCTGTAGTTCACCGGGTTTGCTGGGCTCTGCCTTCTCTTTCTTTGGGTTCCTGTTGACTCGTCTTATTTGGGCTTCCTCCATGTCACAGACTCACACTGTCGTCTAAATCCATGTTCGTGAGCCCGTAAGGCCTCTGAACGTGGCATCGATGTTCCTCTGTCTGGCCTCTTTGACGCCTCGTCTTCTCACCAGCCCATTCTATCCTTCTGTCTCCTGCGACAGCTGCAACCTCCTGAAGGAGGCGCCCTTCGCCGCCTGCCACAACCTCACCGACCCTGAGCCCTTCGTCACCGCCTGCATCAACACTCTGTGCAAATATCCAGCGGTGGACGATCTGAGGTGCCAGTTCCACGAAGCCTACGCCAGAACCTGCAGCCTGCACAGCAACAGAACCCTGCAGGGCTGGAGGTCCGAGGCCCGGTGCTGTAAGTCCGTTCTCCACTGCACCTCGGTTCTGTTTACCAAGACATGGTGGAGGTAGCAGTGTTAAAAGAACATGGAGAATCCTTCACTGAGGTGTCACAACAAAATTCAAATAGATTTTTAATGTAAAGTCCTTCAAGAAACGGGATGGAGCAACTTTTATAGCATATCTACTAGATAACTGCTATTAGCTAAAGAAGTCTCCCCACAGATCCAGTTAGCGTCTGTGAGCTCCTGATAGCTTCTATTAGCTCCTCTTAGCTTGGCTCACAGTTCACAGCAAAACTCCACAATTTGACAAAAGTGCAGCAAAATTTTTACAATGTTTTACAAAAGTAAAAGAGGAGCAACTTTTATATCATATTTACTACTTCCTGATTGGTCATATTGGCTAAAGAAGTCTCATTTTAGCGCCAGTTAGCTTCTTCGAGTTCCTGATAGTGTGTGCTAGCACCAATTAGCTCCTTTTAGTTTCGGCTAATTAGCTTTTGATAGGTTTATTAAGCTCCAGGTAGCATACAGCTCACGGCAACAGTCCAAAATTAACAGAAATTCAATATTTATACTATGAATATTTTAAATGCAGCGCTCAGAAGAGGAAGGAGAAACTTTTATATGAGATCCACAACCCACAAAAAACTGCTATTAGCTAAAGAAGTCTCCTGTTAGCTTCAGTTAGCTTCTTTGAGCTCCTGGTGACTGGTACTAGAACCTACATGCTCCATTTAACTCTTGCTAATAGGAGCTTAGCCTTCACCTTCCCCTAATCAAAGTGTGTTTTCATCCTTCACAGACTACAGTCTGGTTAGTCTTGTAACCGTCTGCTGCTCTGTTTGTGTTTTTGCGTGTTCAGCGTCTCCTCAGGCCTTCTGTCAGGACACCTTCTGCAGCGATCACGAGTTCTGCGCCAAAAACATCGGCGGCGAAACCAGCTGCTTCTGTCGAGCCACTTTTGCCTCCAAATACAGATCTGCAAACACTTTGGGTGAGGAGGCATCGATTGCTATTGCTGTTAGCTTCTGCTAGCTCCAGCTGTTTCTGGGAAGATCCTGTTAGCTTCAGATGACTCCAGCTTCTGTTGGTCCCACTTAGCTCCTGTTTGCTGCAGATTTCTCCGTTCAGCTCTGGATGGCTCCCAGTTAGCTACAGGAAGCTGCCATTAGCGTCACTGAACCTCCCATTATGGTTCTGCTAGCAGCCTCCTTTAAGTACCTGCTAGCTCCAGTCGGATCTTTCTATCTCCTGTTAACGCTGACAAACTTCAGTTAGCACCTCTTTGTTCTACTCGGTTCTGGTTAGCACCTGTTACTTCCCATTTGCTCCAGCTAGCACCTGTCAACTCCACTTAATGCCTGTTAGTGCCACCAGTTAGTTCCAGATGGATCTTGTTAGCTCTTATTAGCTACAGATAGCCCTTATGTGCACGTAGCTAAAAAAAAAAAAATCTACCACTAGCTTCAGTTAGCTTTGATTGATTGAATAAGCTTCTAATAGTGCCGTAGCTCATTGTCTCTTCTGGTAACTCCTGTTAGCTTCTGCTGGGTCCAGTAAGTTCTGGTTCACTCAGGTTAGCTCCTGTAGCGATTTTTTGGCTCCAGTTGGATCCAGTTACCTTCTATTAGCTTCAGTTAGCACTAAACTTCAGTTAGATCTAGTTAGCTCCTGTTTGCTCCAGCTAGCTTCTGTCAACTCCGGTAGCAATTTTTAGCTCCAGTTGGCTCGTGTTTCCTCCTCTTACTTCCCATTAGCTCCAGTCAGCACGTGTTAGCTCAAATTGGCTTTGGTTAGCTCCTGTTACCACCAATTAGCTTCAGTTAGCACTTGTTACTCCAGTTGGCTCTGATTATGTCCTGTTACCTCCTAATAGCTCCAGTTATTACCTATTAACTCCATCAGGCTCATGTTAGCGCTTAGTGCTAGCTCTAGTTCGCTACAGATAGCTTCTTTGTTGTTTCTTTTAACTCCTGATAGCTTGTTTTATAGACTTCTGTTAGCTGCCATTAGCTCCTGCTTGGTCAGTAGGCTTCAGTTGGCTGGGTTCCAGTTGATGCTAGCAGCAGCTTCGTTTCTCTTGTCAGGCGAGCCGACGGTCTGCGGACAGAACGCTGCTTCGGTTTCTCTGGTCGGCTGTCTGCTGGAAGAAAAAGGCATCGATTACTCTGAATTGCACCTGAACAACCAGAGCTGCACCGGTCAGAGGGACGACCAGACCCACATGGTGACCTTCACCTTCGACAGGACCAACACCTGCGGGACGGTGGTCATGGTGGGCGGTCACACCTCTGCTAACACTCACATCTGTACTGTTTGGCATCATGGAAGCCTGTTTCCAGCAGCCAAATTTTACTTTTCATCTCACATGTTTTGATTAAGTCCAGAATTTGGCTGTAGCAGGAGTTTTCTTGGTGGAAACTGTGTTCCAGACCTCAGTGATATCTCAGGTGGCTTCTTCTAAAGGTGACTTCTTGGTGCAGTAACGCCACACGTTGACCCCCGCAGGCCAACAACAGCCAAATCATTTACAAGAACACCATCAAGACGCCGAACGCCTCCTCGCCTGACGCCATCGTCCGCCACGAACCCGTCAAGATCGACTTCTCCTGCTTCTACAGCCAGCCGGACATCAAGAGCATGGCCTTCAGGATCAAGGACAGGTGAGCTGCTGGACGGGACCAAAACCAAATCTGAAAGAAACTTCTTACGTGACCGGCTCAGTTTCGGGGCTCGTATCAGCCTGTGGGACGGTGGTTGGTCAAAACCAGTTACAGCAGATTTTAGCCACGTGTGTCTTCTTCACGTATTGAATTCCTTCTATATGAAAATCATGTATAACATTAATATTAACATATTTAACGCTTTTAAAATGTAAAATTTCAGATTCTGTTTGCTCGAGGAATTTAAACCATGACGATGCTGAGTGAGTGAACACAGTACATGAATTTGGACGTTTAATCTCCACTTTATGCTGACCAGCAAGACCAGTCTTGGTTATTATGGGAATATAAAGAGCTGGTTGGATGGATGTGGTTTGTTTCCAAATCGTCTGTAAAACACGTGAACATCGATGTCGTTTCTTCATTTAACAGCCAGAACATACATTCACCAGAACAGGAAGTAGTTTTGCCCCAGAGTGAATCGTGTCTGTTAGATGATCCTGGTATCAAATGTGTGTAGAAATGTGATCGTCCATCGTTGTGAGTTTTGTCGTGTCTTTAACGGACGAATAGATCTGAGGATCTAACAGAGCTGCACGCTGAGTGTCTTCTGAACGGTGTTTAGTTTGAGGAACGTGTCGGCTCAGCGTTGACACGTGCAGCCTGACAGGAACCCTGAAACCTCAGCAGCTGTCAGACGAACAAACAGGAGGAATAAATCCGCCCTGGTTTGATTTACAGTCGCTGGTGCAGGACCTTCGCTGTCTGCACTCGTCAGAGCGACGCCGCATCTTCTATTCTGTTCTTTCATGTTTTTATATCTGAGCTGGAATAGTCGAGCGGTAAAGGCACAATGTCAGGCTTTAAATATTTCTGTTGATGCGTTACGATGTTCAAAGTGTGCAGAACGAGTCGGTCTGAACGTTGGCGACTCTGCAGTTTGTTTAGCAGCAGAAACTCTGCAGCGTGTTCTAATTAAATCACTTCTGGCAGCTTTCTGACCAAAGAACAGAGCAAAGTCGTCACAATGCTGCTGTGAGACGGAACTCGTTGTGTTTCTGATGTGGCGCTGACACGAGGATTTCTCGTGATTGTGGGTTAAATTTCACACCTTTTAAACAGCTGACACACTCTGAGGGTCTAAATAAAGAATCAGATGTGAGCTGTTTGTAGCTGATGTTTATGTGTCAGTATGAGGATGTGTTGACTCTGTGGAGTTCTGACCCTGATGTGTTTCCTGTCACCTGGTCGGCTGCTGATTGGCTCCATGATTGTGCACCTGGTACAGCTGCAGAGTAGCTCACCTACAGGGTGGCTCACCTACAGGGTGACTCGCCTACAGGGTGGCTCGCCTACAGGGTGACTCGCCTACAGGGTGACTCCCCTACAGGGTGACTCCCCTACAGGGTGGCTCACCTACAGGGTGGCTCACCTACAGGGTGACTCCCCTACAGGGTGGCTCACCTACAGGGTGGCTCACCTACAGGGTGNCCTACAGGGTGGCTCACCTACAGGGTGGCTCACCTACAGGGTGGCTCACCTGCAGGGTGGCTCACCTACAGGGTGACTCACCTGCGTCGCTGTGCACTGAGGGAAGTCTGCAGCTCTGTAACATGTCAAATAGAAGTATTTAGATTCTCTTTGCTGCACCGTCACTGAGAATAAAGACGTTTTCAAGGTGCAGCTCTGCCTCTGAACTACTGACGTGTGAATATGAAGCCGCGCAGATGTTTGTGGATGAAGAGAAAAGAAGCCAATAAAACATGTAGCAGCTGAGTGACAGAGCAGACGGTGGAGACGCTGCAGCAGCCGTCAGCTGCTTCCTGACGTTTGTTTGTCTGGAGCTTTGACTTCTGCTGGTTGCGACGCTCCAGTCGACCTTCATGTCAAACAGACGACCTGACAGAGTGACGAGTGCCTTTAAGAGTGTGTTTCAATCGGTGTGTGTGTGTGTGTGTGTGTGTGTGTGTGTGCGTGCGTGTGTGTGTGTGTGTGTGTGTGTGTGTGTTCTTGTGTGCAGCTCGGTGATCCAGCAGATCGTATCCGGGTCCTGGAGCTACACCCTGAACATGACGGCCTTCACCGACGCCGGCCGGACGCACAAGATCACATCGAGCACCGAGGTCCGGCTGGAGCAAACGGTCTGGGTGGAGCTGAAGACGACCGGGCTGGAGGAGGGACTGGTCGCCGTGGTGACGGACTCCTGCTGGGCGACCAGCGAGCCGTCGGCCAACGGGAGCCTGAGATACGACCTGATCATCGCAGGGTGAGACACGTGGAGGTTCAGCCAGACGGGGCTAGTTTATAGAGCCAAGACCAGTTAGTGACTCATGTTCCTACTGTGAGCGACAGATTTATAAAACGTGACGTACAGGCGGTTATTCTGGACTCATGTATTTCTGTGCAATTGGATTTTTTTTTTAATGTTACACTGGATTATTAGGAAACTTTTCTTTTTGCATCTTTATAAGCTGAATGTTTGTTGCATAACTTTTTTTTTTTTTAGCATTTTTTTCAACCTGATTTTTTATTTTTTTATTTTTTACTTTATTTATTTACCTTTTTTTTAAACTTGTTTTTCACACTCTACATTTTTTACATGACAATTTTATTTTTTTAAAATATTGAACACTGGATGTTTTTCACAAAACATATTTTTGTTGCACATTGGACTATTATGATTTTTTTTAATTTTATTTATTAATTTTTTTTGCATCTGTATATTTTTTTACATTACTTTTTTTCTTTAGCATTTTTTTTTTCCAAACCGGATTTTTTTCAACTTTATTTATTTACCTAATACCTTTATTTATTTTTCTTTTTATTCTGCGTATTTCAACCTTTTGTCACACTTTTTTTACATGACAATTTTTCGTTTTTTAAGTTTTGCACACATGATATTTTTTACATTACATATTTCTTAGCGCATTAATTTTCATTATTCTTTGTGATTCGTGGCGCTGTAACTGTGTCACAGTTAAGCAGCAGCATTCAGACTGCATTCACACAGTCAGACAGCATTTTTTTAAAAGTAAAGTAAGAAATGTGAAAATATAAAACATAAACATCTTGTAGAAAAAAAACGTGTGCATCCATGAAAACAGTGATTCAGTTTCTTTAGAGATCAATTATTTGGTGTATTAAGAACTATGAAAGCAGTAACTGATGCTGCACATTGATGAACAGGTTCGTGTAAACGTGTGGTTCCAGTGAATAAAGACAGGCATAGATGTTTCCAGACTTTGTAACAGTCAGGAGTTTAAATGAAAGCAGAAGCCGTCAGACTGAGAGCAGATGACGTGGACGCTGTGTTTCTGTGCAGCTGTGCCAACCCTGCAGACGAGACGGTTCAGGTGGAGGCCAACGGACGGGGAACCTCCAACCACTTCTCCTTCAAGATGTTCCAGTTCTCGGGGCACAGCGGCGACATCTACCTGCACTGCAAAGTCAAGCTGTGCGTGAACAAGAGCGGCAGCTGCTCTCCGGTACGCCTCCGGTCACGCTCACGCTACGAGCTGCTGCCAGACGTCCGAACCTTCATCTGAGTGTCTTCTGTTTCTTAAATCCCATCTCAGAGCTGCGGAAAATCCAGCAGAGGACGTCGATCAGCCGAACTGGAACCTGAGGACAGAAACCCAGCCGTCATCACCATGAGCTGGAGCGACTAGGTCAGTGTGTTCTGCTGGTGCTGGTTCTGCTGCAGCGCTGGTGGTGCTAAACTCACTCTGGTGTCTCCTCAGGTCGTCTCCATGTGAGTCGGACTGGTCTGCAGGCGGTGGAGCTCCAGACTTCATCCTGATGAAGAACCTGAACGGACGGACGTCATCGGAACAGATGAGCTCACAGACACAGTTAATAAGTAAACACGAATCTACAGAATCACGTTTTATTCTATTAAATATCATTCAGTTCTGATGTTAGAATGGAGGAATGGTTAATAATAACCAAAGGAGGTGATTTTTTCCTAGTTTTAGTTACTAAAACACTCATTAATGAGGGTTTCCTTTTCTTTGCTCTGTTGATTTTCACATAAAATGAACAAAATCAGCCTTTTTTCTAAATTCAATCCAAATGAAGAAACTGAAACAAGAGGCTCAGTCAGAAGTCCTCCACTGCTTTCATACGTAAGATCAGACACTAACGAACAAGGATGAAATCTGAGCGTGGAAGTCTTTCTTCATTGGGTATTCTGACCAGGCTCATTACTATTAAGACACACTGGGCAGCTGGTTCAGGGTCCAAGAAGCAGTTTTACAGAACATCTAGAAAACCTTCAGCTGTCCAATCAGGAAGAAGCTCGTTTACTCAGGAATGTGGGTTTATTAACGGAGGAGGATCCCTGTGCAGCTGAAGGAAGGTTGAAATATGGAATATAAATCTGCTGAATGTGTGTCCTGTTGAATGATCAATGTGACTTTTTGTTTGTTTAAGCATCGCAAAGACCAAAAAAATAAACCAAACCGGGGCTTGTGGGTAAAAGACAAACCTGAGCTTGTGTGTCATGATGCGTCAGCCTCGTTTTCTCCTCTTAGCTTCTGAACACTTCTGAACTTGAGCATCAGTCTGAACAGAGAAACGAACGACGAAGTCAAAGAACGACGTCGAGACAAACGCGTAAAATTCATGAACAGAAATGTTGAATTTAAATCTAATCCAGCACGACAGCTCTGAAATAAATTGAAGGTTTTGCAGTTTTATGTGTTGAAAATGTGATAATTGTGCTTCGTCTTTACTGCTGAGCTCAGAGTCGTTGGCTCATATTTAACTGTTTCATGTTTTCTCTTTAACATTCGGCTGAAACCAGAAGTTCACATCCACTGTATGTAAAGACACGCACCTTTTTATTCTCACTGTATGACATTAAAACAGACTAAACTCTTATACTACATCCACAGGTGTGCCTCCAATTAACACAGATGTTGTCAATTAACCAATCAAAAGCTTCCAGAGCCATGACATCATCATCTGGGCTTTCCCACATAGTCTGAAGGCATCTTTGTGGATGAAAAATATAAATAATGTTGGTTATCCAAGCTGACCTAAACCAGGAAAAGTTTCATCTGATTTAATGTCAGACGGTGAGAAAAAAAAAAAAGGTTTTGTGTCTTTTTATACAGTGGATGTGAACTTCTGGTTTCGACTGTACAACACCTCAGTAAAACACTTATTATGTTTAGTGTTGAGCTTGTTTTCATCACATGCTTTAATGCAGAAGCTTTATATTTATGTAGTTTATCTAATGAAGTGTCCCGTTACAGTGTTTAGTGACTCAGTTTTCTGTTTGGACAAAGACTTTGTGAATCTTTTAGGTCCCGATTGGTGGATTTGGTTCGTATAAGTACAGTTGTTTGGGCTGCTCTGCACTGGTTTTGTTGTTTCTGATGAAACCTCTGCAGCATGTCAGCTGAAACGCCATCAGAACCAGATTTAAGCACAACGCTCCACTATGAGACGGCAACAGCATTAAATCTGAAGCGTCACAAAACTAGAAAACAGTCGGTCATCACTTATTCTTAAAGCCGTTAAACTGGAGGCAGGTCGACGTTTGATGTTGTTTTTGTGTTGAAAGATGCAGCAGAAACTTACAGTAAGCTCCCACTGTTCCTGTATTTAATGTGTTATTAGTCATTTCGTAGTGTCACAAAGAAAAACAACAGATGTGACATTTACAAAGCGCCCTGTTTAGCTTCAACTACCATTTTTCCCATTAAGGAGAACATGAAGAAAAGTGGGACAATCTGTGTCCGTCTGTTTTGTTTAAGAAATTCTCTGATCTTTTAGCTAAAGTGAGTAAATGAGCGATAGATTGAGCTCGTGTGTGAATCAAACATCGACAACAACCTGATTTTACAAAAAAACAGAAACACGGGGCAAAAATAGAGACGCCACAAAATCTCACAAATGTGTTTCATTAACAGGAGCTGAGCTGTTCCTGGATTCACAGCAGCTAACGGTCCTAACGCCGAATAATGTGGATCTTTTACTCAACCAGTCGACAGGAAGGCGTCGTGTTAAACATGTCAAAGGTTCATTTGAACTGTTTTTGTGTTGTTTTTTTAAAAAGAATTTCCTAAAAATGCAATAAATTATGATTAATGCATAGAAAATAGAGGTGTGTGGCAGTAATAGTCAAAGTTTTAGATCAGGGGTGTCCAATCGTGGACCTGCATGTCTCAGGTGTGTCCTTCTTCCAACACACCTGATTCAAACGATCATCATGAAGCTCTGCAGAAGCCTGATAAGGATCCTGATCATGTGAATCAGGTGTGTTGGAAGAGGGACACATCTGAAACATGCAGGACCAGGACTGGACAGCCCTGTTTTAGATGTTTTAGTAGCAGTTTGAACGCTGGCTGTCCTCCTAACATGAAGTCGTTTTAGTTGTGTAGCGTGAGCGCCCCCTGCAGGCTCAAGCTGTGAACCTGTTCTGTGTCTTTACAGTCAGTGTTGATTTTAAGATGTATTTTCTGTGCGCTGCGTAAATACTTCTTCACTTCTGCTCATACAGGAGAATATTACTGCACCATTTTTAAATTTATCTAAAGTTGCTTCAGTTGTGTTCAAATGACACGATCAGACATCCTGAACATGAACTAAATGGATTTATTTTAAAACCTCTGCAGCTCAGGTTCACTTCAGCAAGTTTTTATATTTTGCATTTTTCCTTTTCTCATTTCTTCTTTTATCCCAACGAACAGGCAGAATATAAACTGTCCTTTTAGGGTCGTAGAAGCTTCTGGATTTACATTTATTACATGTACTATTTAAATTTGTCAGCTAAAGTAACGTAGAGGTTTTAACTGTAATATTTATATTAGTCACATAAATTCATTTAACTAATAATATTCAGGTAAATTCCTATAAAATATAATATTGTGGGCTCTTCACCTTCATGTTTAAACTTGTACGTTCACATTAAAAACATTGTCACTGTAATCAGGTGAATGTATTTAACAAATAATATTATCGGGTCTTAACCTTCATATTTAGGTTATTCAGGTAAATTCATTAAAACATTCCAATATCGTGGGCTCTTAAACGTAATGTTTGGACAAGTTAGTGATAAGAAATAAAGAAAAGATTATAGAATCTTAAATGTGATAAAATAAATAATATTACAGAAGTTTAACCGTAATATTTTTCTACTCAGGTGAGTTTATATAAAACACAATATCTGACCTTTAATATTTAAACTTGGAGTTTAAATCCTTATTTTTAAATTTTCTTTTGCAAATTTTTGACATGATTCTTATTTGTCTGTTAATTAACCCAAACTGATCTGAAATGTATGAATGCATTTCGGTACACGACTAGTTTGGTGCCTCCTATAAAGTCATATCTGATCAGTACTGAGAGAAAGTGAATAATATATATATCGTAGTTTGGGTTTAACGATGACAACGATGCTGCTGCTGTTAAAGAAGCTGCTTCGTGCTTCAGTCCTGTTCAATACATTTGATTATTGTGTAAAAACAAAATGAACAAAGAAAGAGCAGAATGTACATTTATTTATTTACAGCATGATCCGGAGTAAACAGCAAACATCTACGAGGTGAAAACCAGCCGTCAGACATAACGAACTTCTTACTCAGGAGGTTTTTGTCGCCAGGAAGAAGAAGAAAAAGAGACTTTCTGGCTTCTGTGGAACCAAACACACTTCTGTGTGATGCTGCTCTACGTCTGGGTTCAGTCTCTACAGCATCTTGGCCTCGCACGAGTCCGGCTGCAGGATCTTCAGCGTGACAATGAGCCGCACAGATTTCCTGAACCAGGGGTAGAAGAAGGTGTAAATCAGCGGGTTCAGACACGAGTTCAGATACAGCAGCCAAACCTGAGCGGCGGCGGTTTCCGGCGCCACCAGGGCGTCCTCCGCCACCACGCTGAAGTAGTAGTAAGGACACGAGCACAGCAGGAACACCACCACCACCACGCCCAGCGTCCTCGCCGCCTTCAGCTCCGACTTCTTGGCCATCGCCGCCCCTGAATGCTTCACCTGGGACCGAACCGCCTGGGCCTGAGACACCGCCACCACAAACACCCTCGTGTACAGAACCACGATGACCGAAACGGGCCCAAAAAAGGTCACAAAGAGGTCGACAAGTCCGTCAGCGTAATTAACCGTAATCACGCACTCTCCGTGGCAGGAGTTAAACCTGCCCGGCTTTGAGAGCTTGTCCCTCAGCAGCCAGCTGCTGTGGACGGCGGAGAACATCCAGTTGAGGCACACGCTCAGCTGAACCCTTCTCACGCTGACCCTGGTGGAGTAAAACATGGCGTCGCATATGGCCATGTAGCGGTCCACCGAGATGAGCATCATGTTCCCCACCGAGGCGCTGACGAGCAGGAAGCCCAGGAAGAAGTTTGCAGCGCACGCAAAGTCCCCCAGAATCCAGCAGTGTCCGTAGAGGAGGATCTCCACCGGCATCAGCAGGAGGCCCACCAGGAGGTCTGAGACGGCCAGGGACAGGAGGAGGAGGTTGGTGGTGCCGTGAAGCTGCCTGGAGGAGGAAGAGCACCAGCAGTGATACAGGCAGACCTCAACCAACATGTGGAAATACAAAACAGGAAAGAGTCACTAGTTACTGTCTCCAAAGCACCGTAATCATATTCAGCTTGTTAAAGTGTCAGATTTAGGAAAACAGCCACGTCGTCATCAATCTGAACAAAGAAAGCAGGTGAATGTCTACCTGAAGTGTGAGATGGAGACGATGACCAGCAGGTTGAGTGTCACGGTGAGCAGAGAGATGACGGACAGCAGGACGTAGACGGACGTGGCCTCCAGCCGAGGACGCCTCGTCTTGGTGCAGGAGTCGTTGGCGAGGGGGAAGCAGAGCTCAGCTTCTTCCACAGCGTCCATCCTCAGAGAGACAGACGGGCGTCAGCAAAGCTCCTCGTCATGCAGGTCATTTATCTCCATCCTGCCTCCCTCTCTTATGCAAATTCAGAATGTAGATTGTGTCATACATGGTTCAGGCAAGAAGCTCATATTAAGCAGATGGCGTTTTTCTTACCAGAAGTTTACATCCACTGTATAAAAACACACAAAACCTTTTTTTTTCTCACT